TCCTCCCGCTCCTTCCTCCCCCTCCTCCTCCGCTTTCTCCTCCTCCTCCGCCGCCTCCTCCTACCCTCTTCGGTCAAAATTCATTGATTATCACCGTGCTCCTTCTCGAGATAAGGGAGCGCTCTCACCGAGCCCAGCCTGACGCAGCACGGCCAGTCTGGGCCGCAGGGGACCCACGCCCTGCGTGCACTGGTGGGGGACCTCTCGCCCCCCACTTCGTGCCCCTTGCCTCCTCCCTCTCCTCCTTGTCCTCGTCCTCTCCCTCATCCCACGAACGGTATTTCTGGACGCAGTAATGAAGCAACGGTGATGTCAACCAGCGTGCTGAGGGTACGGCACAACAGGTGCTCGAGGTTCTTCCCAAAGCTGCTGGCCACTTTTAAATCGTGAGGCCAGACGGCGGGGGGCCCTCGATATATCCAGTAAGTCGTCCGTCATCGCCTCCACCCTGCCCTTTGGTCGTCAACCTAGCGCAGCAATAACTCGGGAAACAGGAGGCCAACTTATGCCTGCAACAAAACTGGTCGTCGCGGATCTCGGCACGGAGCGAGGATCGAATCGAACCAGCAAGCCCTAGCTTGGGTCTCGTTGCCGAACGGCTGCGAAGCAAGTAGGCCGAGTACGCACTCTCTGTAGGCACGGTGAGCTCGCCCATGCCCGTAAGAAGATTGCCCTTGGGTCTCCTCGCCCTCGGGTGGCGTGCGGGGTGTTCGCGTCTGGGGTGGCCCCCAGGCAGCTCCTCAGGATCTCCAGGGCCGTGGCGAGTGCGATCGGTGGAGTCCACCTCGGTCGCTGTTCGACCACTTACCTGTGTCTGGAGTTGGGCCACGAGGCCCCGACTTTCCGCCTTCCGATGCGTCAGGCTGGGGCCCGGCTCCAGTCTGCGATGGACCCCGCCCGCGCGCCCCACGCGTGAGGGCTCGACTTCGACGCTCGTGGCCCATGGCGGCCCGTCGGGTGCTGCCGCTCTCGCCACGGCGCCGCGGATCTGGGGTCCGAGGGCCCATGCCGGCCTTGATCGCCGTCGTGCTGGACGCCTGCCACCGAAGATCATTTCGAGCGTTGGTCGTCTCCCGGCGGGGACGAGTGGGCCATGGCTAATCGTGCCCCCCATCGACGCCACTCCCGATTGCGAACCCTTCCTCGCCGAGCTTCGCGACTTGCTGTGTGCACAACGATGGCGCGTGGCGAGTAAACATCACAGTGGGGGCGTGGCGGACACTCTCCCGCAACGTCGCCTTCTCACGAACCTGAGCAGGTCTTCTATTCCCGCTGCCCCTCGGTGTCGGGGCGATCTCCTCTCGGCCTACGACACTGGCGCCTGGACCTGAGATAGCTCGCCGATGCCGGCCTCGTCCCGCCAGAAGAGGGCATGTGTCCCAAGTGCGATCTCCAAGCAACCGAGACCGACCTCCACTGGCATTGGCCAAGCCGGGGCATTGCCAGCTTCCGGAGCGCCAGAAGTCGGACCGCTTGTGCGAGCAGGCCGTCCAAGAGGCGAAGGCCACCCCGTGCTTCTGGCTGAGGGGCACGACTTCCCGCGAGTGGAGGCTCGGGCCCGTCAGACGAGCTCAGCTCTTTCGACTGGGACCTGGAGCGACGGGACCCCGTGGCGGGCAGGCGGGGAGCGTGTGGCGGGGAGGCGGCGGCGGCACGGGACGGCCGTGCAGCAATGATCCCCCTGCTCGCC